AGATAACATTCAATTTCCTATCCTTGTTTGTAACTTCTTTGCATTTGTGACGCTAATTAGATGGAGAGCCAACAACCAGCGGATTCAACTCAAGAACCTTCGTTTGCTGACCTGCCGGACAAGACATTATGATTGTCACAACCTTCAAGACGACGCAATCGAGATGAAGATCTTCAAGAACGACATGTTCTTCCTCGAATAGATGGTGAGATACAACGCGTTCGGTATCACGATTTGGGAAGGGACTCCCGATGTTTGGTGATTTTGCTAGAGGTAGGAACAACTCCTGATGGTGTTCCAAATATTCTATTCGAAGGAAGTTACGAAGGCCTCAACAATGATCAAATAACTGGGTGGTCTTCCCGCCCTGGTATGGGACACTACCGATGGTTGAGAGGCCCTATCAATCATCTTCAAAGAGAACAGAGATCAGAGTATGTGGCAAATACAATTCGTCGCATCATAGATTTCCTCAACATATGATGACCGCTCCTCGTGGAACTCGTCTCTAGAAGGGGGAGTAATGTCACGGCCATAATCATGTAAGCTAATAATTACATATAGAAATAGGTAGAAGTAAGTAAAAGTAGATAAAAGTAAGTTAATTCTATAATATTTAATATAGAAGCTTTCTAAAAACTTCCTAGACACTGCTTTGATTTCATAGGTGTCTTTAATTGACTTTTTGGATTAGAAACGTGGTCAACAAGTTGGCCATGTGCCACACATGTTGTTAGCTTGAAAATCAAGCTAACTATGTGGCCCACACGTAGAAAAACTTGCCTTGTAAGTCAAGGCATGTGTCCTACAAAGTCAACACATATTGGAGGTCCTATAGAACGTCGCCATGTAGCCCCTAGTTAGATAGTATATATAGAGACAAGAGTGAAGGCTTCTTCACTCTTGTCAACTCCTTTCTTGCTTCTAGTCCAGGTTCAAGAGTCTTTAGTTTCTTGTCTTGTGGCAATAGCCATTCCAGTTTCCTTTTAATATACCTACTTGTTTATATTTTGACTTATTATATCGAGATAGCCTTTTGTGTATATTTTCCCTCATCAAGTCTTTGTCCTTGACACAAATAAGGTCTATATCAAAACTCTTCAAATACAATTGTAAAAAATCTTAATAGAAATAATGAACCATGATCAAATAGTTTTTTTTTTTTTTTTTTTTTTTTTTTTCTTATAAAATATACCTTAAATAGTATCTTAGACACTCATGAATCTATTAATCAACCAAAAATTTCTAATTGGCTATTTTTGCTTCTTAAAAAAAGTATCTTTAAAACTTTTTTGAATAAAATTTAATTTTTTATGAAAATTAATTTAGCTTAGAATATCTATCATAGATCAATAATAAAAATAAATAAAGATAGTCTTAGAATTATTGATTGTAAAGAAATATTAATAATATTACTATCTATTTGGATAATTTAAATATTTCATCCAAGTGATTCCAAACTTTAAATTTTCTTATATTATAAGCTTATAAAGGTAAAATCTAAAACTATTCATAACTAAGATCTACATTTCAAATGACTTCTATTAGAAAACTATAAATAAGATGTGGATTCCAAAAAAATCTTAGAATTTGACATGCATGGTCAAAAATAGTTAGAAACCTACAAAAACATTCTTATTGAACTTTTTTGAGGTAAAGAATAGGTTTTTGTGGTAGGATTTTTTATTTTTTTTATTTGTGCACATTTATATTAAATCCCAAAGAATAGAAAAATTTTACAAAATAGAAATTCAAAAGATGAGGACATTTTTAACTAGTAAACATAATATTTTATGACAATAGGTTGAACTTTGATTCAAACTTACTAATATAATAAAGATTTCTAGGTTTGTGAATCAAATTATTATCCATGATCTTAGCATTTTTATTATTATTTGTAGAGGTATGCAAAAATCTAAGTATGTACAAGGATTAGATTTTTAGCACAAACAAAACCTTTCTTTTTGGATTATGCCTTCTAGGTAAATGATGACATTTAAACAGATTTTGGAATCTGTGTGAATTGTGTTTCACACTTAGATGGGTATGACAAGCTTGACATTCGTGTCGGTAAGCAGTACAGGTTTCTGATTTCTCCGATCCAAAAAGTTGCCGCTTACATTCTGGCGTAATGGGCTTCAACGTTGTATGTGTCTTACATGGTGAAGTAAGATGACGGAAATTTTGAGCATGAAGCTCTTGTTCTGTGATATGTTCTTTTTCTAGAAGACTTTGCTAGAATTCTTGGATTTCAAGGCATTAGCTCCTCTGGGCTCCTCTGTGTCCGATCGGGTAAAAGGTCACTTGTTTCCAGGTTATACCTGTAGAGTCGTCGCAAAGAGGTTGATGCCGGAAGCCTCAGTCTCAGGCACGCCAATTGGGTCGAGGACAACATCAATCCTGTCCTGAGACTCACCCTTCACATTCCAGAGTCGGAAAATCATAGATACTATGGTTGGGAAATGACCACACGAGAGGTTGCAAGGCGCTACACCTGCACGCACAATATACTCTACACAGTAAACTGAATTTAGAAATCAAATTGTGAAGCCACGTAGTTGCACAAGAAACTACTGTTTCTACATGAAAGGTAACGCAATAACAATGACCAGGTTTAGCGTTTAAGATAATTCCGCAATCACATAGTACACAGCTTTGGTCACCGTCGATCGAAGAGAAGATCAGTATCCGCATACATCTGAACACTTCAAAATTCTACGATGTGAACCAGTAGAGTTGAGAATGGACATAAATGAAACGTGCCTGTATATCTAAAGGGTTGACACACTGCATGTCGATGGTGCGCCGGTGCGGACAGATACCCATATACGACTGGATACTTAGAGCTCATAGTGAGTAGTCTGTCGCACACGTTGCCATTAGGCACTTACAAGCTCCTCCTTTAGAATGCATCGCAATTCAATTGGGGTGTAGCTTTAACAACTCCCAATATTTTGATACTTTCTCTGATTCTAATGAAATTTTGTGTTCCGTTAAGCGAACATCACACCTAAGGACGTGAGCTTGAGGTCAAGTAGTATGCTATTCAGTACTCATATGTTCTTCATGAGCAGGTTCTGACTCGAGAAGGTTGGTATTTCTGGTGATGCAGAACCCAAACATTGCCGAACATGCGAGATGTTGCTAACGCTGTAGCTCGATGTCTGTGTAGGGGAAACGGCCTACCATATTTATGTCTGTGTAATTATATTTATATATGTAGGGAGTGTTTGTTTTCGTATTTTTTTTTTATTTTTTTTTTTATTTTATATAAATATATTATGATTTAATTTTTTTTTTTAAATTTTTTATTTTTATATTTTTTTTATGTTTTTTTAATTTTATATTTTTTTTTTATAAAAATATATAGATTTTTAATTTTTTTATTTATTTCATTTTTTATATTATTTTTTTTTTTTTATTTTTTAATAATTTATTAATATTAGTTTAATTTTTTTTTAATTTTAATTATATAATTTTATTAATTACTTTTTTATTTTTTTTTTTTAATATTTTTTTATATATATAATTCTCTTTAATATTTTAAAATACTATTCTCTTAAATCATCAAATTAATCTTAATTATTCTATTTAAACCTTTTCTAAATATACATACTTCTTCCTAACAAACTTCACTTAAATCCCTCTATACTTAACCTTCATTCTCCACAAACTTAATCACCTTTCTCAAAAAATTATTACAAATTATTCAAACCTCTTCTCACTTCTTAATTTTTAATAATCTTTCACATCTTACTCCACTCTAATCCCTCTTCTTAACAACCTACCATATTTATATCTCTATTATTATATATTTCTATTTAACTAATTCTTAAAACCACACCCCAATTTAAATCCACTCTCCAATTATCCCAAAACTCTCTAAACTTAACTGCCCCTTTAACAACTCCCTACATATATAAATATAATTACACAGACATAAATATGGTAGGCCGTTTGATAGAGGCTTCAGAGTGCAGTATGTCCTGCAAGCCAACTCACAATTCAGATGTCTGAAGAGGTTTTAAAAATTTGTACTAATTTATAGAGACAGGGCACTCTGCCAGCAGAGCTTAAACATCATGCGTTGGGGGATTTTAGCGGAGCTGCTTCGCTTCCCTTCTTACTTCCAAGTTCTGCTTTAAACAAGAATCACAGTTTTTGAAGAATCTTTCCAGTGAATGACCTGTAAGCTCACTCCTTCGCCCTTCGTCCTACATAAAATCAGCATTTACAATCGCGGTCTTTGATCTTGGAATTTCATATTCCCGGTCCGAATCGATTGTGGAATAGCAATACTTTACTGTGGAGCACGAAAGGGCTGTGTCAAGTTAGATGATAACAACCGACTGCATTGGAGAAGCAGAAGAGAAGGACTTGGCTGTTCTCAACTCTCGAACAGAGACGTTGTGAGACTAATGGTTTGGCACTTATCAGTTACGTACACAGCGTTTATTGTTGACTGCACTTCCAGAACAGATTTGGATAATGTCCGATGATCTGAAACAACAAGTCGTTTCTTGCTTGCTACGGTGGTTGCATCTCTCTTGCGAATTGTTTTACTTGAAGGACCACTGTAGCAAATGGTTCACTGTTTTTTCTCATTTAGAAGGGTACTAAATCTACAAAAGGAAATCTAATCAAAGATAATATTGCACAAATACAGTATCCCATATTCAAATTACATTATAGTTAAATACATGGTGTTTAGACTCGCATGTTGTATGGTACAAAGACAATGCGATTTAGTACGTACACCAAAAATAGTTGCGATGTACTGTGGGGGGTAAACTGGAGAGATTGAAATGTTAGAATTGCTCATTTCTACTGAAAGGTGTAAGCTGGTTTATCCATAGTGTGCTCAGCTTGCAAATAAGCTTGGAAGGTTCTACGAAATATTCGGAATGGCTACCAGAATCACAAGGATAAAGTGACACTCAAAATGGGTCCTAACAAATACAGCTTGTTTCAGAGACATACACGGGAAGCAAAAAGCGTGGTTCCTTACAGAATCGGGATTGTTGAGGTGATTTTCGATCTGATCACCAAAAGTAGTTTGATATATTAAAACCTTGTACAACATCTACATACATTTGATTGTACTTGCAGCGAACTGTAGAGCGGAGCTCGTCGATGAGTCGATTCCAGTTGGAACTAAGCTGTCCTACGAAGCCATCACACTCCAAGGCTATTTGCAAGTTGAGAATACTATTGATAAACTCTTCGTCCCATCCATATCGTGAGGCAAAGTTATTTAAAGCCAAATTGGGATGAGTCACATTGCCATCAGTCGCAACGCGGGACACGGTAGTGTATTGAACCTTCCAATTATCCAGCTTCGAAAAGAAGCCAACTGTCTCAGGGTCTTCTGTGCTCAAAAAAATCTTGCGCTGAAGGTCATTGGGGTACTGATTTACCAGAGATTCAGCAGCTTGCAAGAACGCTTCGTTGTTAGCAGTTCGATCCTCCTTCCACCGATTGCCGTAGGGGATGTGCACGGATATGGTGCCACGTTCGATCACCTGCTTGTTAAAGTAAAAATTTCGACGTAGTCCCAGCTCATGCAAGAATCGAGAGTTAGGCCGCACGATGTAAGCAATACTTTGAGCGCGCCACCAGTGATAGAAGTCATTCGAGATATTCCCCTTATTCAACAAGCTGTGAAACATGTGTGGCGTCTCACCCCTCAAAACCTGCATAATATTCGCTGATTCCTCGAAATCTTTCTTCACTCTTCTCACAGAGGATCCTAGTACCCTCTCAGTAAATCTCCAGTCCGACTCGTTGCGGTAGTAGGTGTCCAAACTCAGCTCCGAATATCTCCACATATTATCCAAGTCTACGCTCCTATTTCCAAAAGCGTGTTGCGCGGTACAATTCGAAAGCGGCTCTAAGTAACAACTGTCCAGAGACGTTGAGTTCTGGCAGAACCATCCATTGACCCACTCAAAATTTGGCTGTGGGTATAAAACCAATATGCGGTCAAGGTTTAGGGCGGCTTGGAGAGCAACCCCTATCGCGTGCAAAATTGTGCCGATGCCATGCTCGGGACCCAAGGCCTCATAGACAATGAACTTCTTGTCGTGACAAGTTCTCGGATGCTGATGCCTCCAGATAGCGTGTTGCGCCGCCACGCTTCCATACAGTTGCGTTCCTTTGTAATTGGAAGTGCTATTGGTAGTTTGATTAGCAGATTGAGTGGTAGTTTGATTAGTAGTTTGATCCGCAGTTTGATTGGCACGCACCTCCACTTGAGGCGCCTCCTCTGCCTGGCGGGTCCAATGCCGCTCTGGAAACCACCGGGTCTCGCATTCCTGTGTTGGAAACGACGGATCCCAGAGTGTGTCATTGCTGCCCTTAAAATATAGCCTGCGAGAGCGTGCGTCTTCCAAGTCTAAGTAAGTTGGTTGCATCAATTCCTCTTCTGCATAGACTTGCATAGGAAGATCGACCTTGGGATACAGAGTGAAGGAGAGGATTTGTAGCGGCTCTTCCAAGTAATAAAGTTGCAGCAGAAAGATCGCAAACGTCCCACCAACCACAAAAGCTATTGCTTTTGTGATCATAATCTTACGGCTCCTAGAGATCGCCTGATCAACAAATTCATCAATGCAGTCACTATGTAAGTTTTTGCCCAATCCAAATTCCTTTGATTTGCATATATCTGAAAATACAATTGAACAACCATAAAACCCTAGTATAAAGTTCAGTGGTAAAGCGATCTGAAAATTTAGTTGAGCTCTGATACCATCGTAAACTGCCGTTCTTGTAACCTCGGACTTGTCTGTATTGTATATAACAATCAATGTGGTATCATTGCTACCTTACGTAGGCTAAGAAAGGTCTTCACAGGCTTGAAAGTGGCGCTTGAAATCTGCAGAAATGGACACGCATTCAGTTCTAAATCAAGAGTATAGATATTAGAGAAAACCTGCGCGTAACTCAGTGTCTTTTTTCACTCAATTTGAGTAGATTGAGACACCATGGGTGGATGCGGACACTGGTGTGAACCCACCTATTGTACTCGTGAGAGTAGATGTTACAACATCTTTAGCAGACTCAAAACGGGATTTTTTCCATCCATGGTAGGAATAGAGATCTTAATCGAGGTCCAATTCTTGGCAAACCAGATCAGTTACACTATGCCCTGAAGTCTCGAAAGAGAAATATCAAAAAAATTAAAACCTTTGCAAACTGTTGATAACCATAAACATCCAGGTCTTCACAGTCACAGGTTACAATGTCAGGATGTTCTCGTCACAATGAACAAGCACACCAAGTGGGCGCACAGGTAAACACACGAGTCTGTCACAGGAAATTTCTTTGAATGTAAGGTTTTATATGAGATAGTCAGCTGTTGCTGTGGTGGGTACCTTGGAAATCAACCTCGTAATCCACTATCCAGCAGAGATCTATACGAACCACAAACGTCGGAGTTAGCTAAACCCACACCAGCTACCAGAGAAGGTCACACTAGATCACGATCCAATAGACAGATTAGAGGCGCTAACGGACCTAGCTAACCCTAACCGAAACAGAGTGGCAGTCACGACTTCGTATGGCCAATACTTAGTACCAGAGCTCACATTCAAGCATGCCCAGACCTAACTTCAGCGACCTGAAAATATGCGTCACCGTAAGCACCTCCAACAATGCTGAGCAAGCAGCCACTACCAAAGTGTTACAACAGCATCAACCAATAAACAAAACAAAACGAATCAAAACAAAAACTTAGGCATAGAGGGTTTCGCAGGAGGCACATGCCCCTTTCATTAAACCTTCACTCAAATCCAAGATCCTGCCATCCTTTCACACCCCTCGCAGGAGTGAAGTAACCGAGGCAGGGAGAGTTCGTGAAAGACGGAACAAAGCAGCTGCTTCATGGGAAGACCTACCTCCGACAAACGCCAGAGCGCACTGGGGGTCGCCACCAAGCGCTGAGCCCCACACAAAGGAGTACGAAGTGGAGTCAGAGTGGCATCCCTGAGCCTCTGACGTCAAGCGCATGAAGAAGCAAACCTTGCCAGGACATCCAACGTGTAGCACCTACGGGCCAGATCGACCGTGACCGGCCAGCACACACACAACAAAACAATTTTCAAAACGATTTTTTCGAACAACTTTCCTCAGTGGGACACAAGAAGCGAACTGTCCTAGATGAAACTCTTCGCTACTCAACGTCGCAGAAATTCCGCTCTCCTGTGCGGCCCTACCTTATTCCTCGCATATTAAGCATCCTATTTCGGGCCGCCGAGGGCAGTGGGCACCAACCACCAACTTCTCTTACCAGATCGCACATATTTCTGATTTAATTTCGTAGCGCTTCTCAAACTTCGTTTGGATGCGACTCCAAAAATACCAACGAGATCTCTCCCATTCCCTCTCTGGGCGTCCTTGACGCATGTTAGGCAGCTTGCTGTTTGCATGTTAAAGGATGTGGGTCCCAGAGCGCTAGACTCCGACTTCAATGAATTAAAGCAAACAGCTGCTGCAGAGTTGCAGCTTCCATTTCAATCCAACTTACTAGTGAGTGGGCCAACACAACAGCTACGCCGTAGATTTGCACTTGTGGGTATTACAATGGAGTATTACACCACAGTGCATCATTTTCACACCGGTAAACTAATCAAACGGTTCAATAATATTCACTTCGACTCAAGAAACGATTGTATCCGAACAAGCAAAAGTGAGGGAGTTCACTAAATTGAAACTAAAACATCAGTATCGACGACGTCCCACGAGCTGCTGTCATGACATAATTAATACGTATGATGTCCTCGTGAACTTGTGCAAGATCATGAGGAAAAGTGCGTATTCTATTCGAAACCCCTCTTAAATAATTGTCGCGGTAATGAAGTTTAGAATACTGATATTATTGTTGTCCGTTGCAAAGGTACACGATGAAGGACCCTAGTTTCAGCAAGTTCCGGCATCCATTCTAAGTGATAAATTGATCAGTGTCGGATGAGCAGGTCTCAGCATTTGCGACTCAGGCACCATATTCAGCTTCACTATGTATTTCAAATTCTGCCTCATGGCTACAAAGTCCACGAAGTTCATTTCGAAAATAATGAGACGTAGAAGATCCACAGAAACAACTATCACTGCAAACCAACTTGAGAGAAGGGAGGAGAAAAAGAAGAAAAAAGGACGCTCCACAACTTACCATAAATCATGCGAATGCAAGGGTATTCAACTTGCCCAGCCCAGAATCCCCAAGAATACGAAAGGAGAGGACATGTCCGGGCAAAGGCCACAACTGATCATTACCGAAACTTGGTCTGACAAAGGTAGATTTGCGAGAATGCAAGTCAGAGATACTCTTTCCCAGTTCTACAGGTGACAGGACAACACTAATGTTTTCACTATCTCTGAAAGGGAAAACGAGAGCTGAGTCGCCACTGTTTTTCCTTTATTCACCGGCCACTTTGAATCTACACACCAAAGATGGATAGTGATGCCGGCAGAGGCGTTTGAAGGTTTTATCCTCGTCTCTCTTCATCGACATGCAACATTGTTGGATACTTCTACCTAAATGTCTATGACGGCTTGCCGATCGTCAGCCGCAATCTTAGGCGGTCTTGGAGTGGGGCTTCAAGAGCCACTACCCTTCCATTCTGAGATCGAAATCAAAAGCAAACTCACACACCGAGCTAAACTCCCAGTCAACTCGAGCATATGTAGAATTTAAGCCATTCTCCAAAAAAGTAAGGGTAAAAGTGTGTATGTGTGTGTGGGGGTGAGTGTGCCACTAAAACTACTTTTTATGACAAACACTTCAACAAGATGGTATACTATAGATATCTAGGGAGCAGGAGCCGATAACGTTTCACATGCATAATTCTTTTGCAACTTTTAATTATGCACCTGTATGATAAGAAGCGATCATACCGTGCCTGCAGTGAATCACAGAATTCACAGTGCATGCCCAGCATTAACTTCACTCCACACTTGCTCGTCCCTGCCAACTTTTGTAGGACAGGAACCAAATACTTCAAGTCTAAGCATCCAGCGTAGGGTTTGGTTCGTTCATAATGGCAACGATCATTCCAAAGTGATTAGCAATATGTGGACTTTGAGATGAAGAATATGATAATCAAGAATGTGGTTGGTTTTATTGGTTGCAAATCCAATAGTGGGAAAATGAATCTAGAGGTCATTTTTCTTTTCTTTTCTTTTCTGGATGGTTTAAATGGGTGGATGAATTTTGTAAAAATTTGGGTCTATTTAACATTCCCCTCTCTCTCAATATATATATATATATATATATATATAATCATGTTTGTAAGCAATACATTTTAAATCACAACAAAACAAGGACGATTCAAACCACTTTCGTGAATCAACATCCATCCGCCAAGGCACCAACTTCTCACGGCTTTTCATTCTACCCAACCTCAACTATCTGCTCCTCCAAAGATAAGAAAGGAAAATGCATCAATCATTTTTTTACTTAAAAAAGTGATTGATAAATCTTCATGTGGAGATGCACATGACAATACATTCCATCACATGTCTCCACCTTTCCGAGAGTGATGACATGGCACTGAAATCCGTATGTTTCGCATCCGGGTATTAACCAATTAGGGTTTATGGGGTCTCGATCGGAAGATGACGATGGTGCAGTGCAGTTTGGCCGAATTTGGCGAAGCAGGAAATGCTGACGAGGGAGGTAAACATGAAGCGGATGCTGTGAAAGTGATACCAAGCGCAAGGGCAGCATCGGCTTTGGATTGTCGTGTGGGAGAAGCTTGTGACCTCTGCAATCTGTTCATGTAATCGCGAGGTGCCCGGGAAAGCTTTTGATGCGATGCTGGAGCACATAGCTGCAGGGGATGCTAGTTGATGAGTTGAATCCTCTGTGCCGCATTTCAGCTTTTGGAATTGCTTGGAATTTCCTGTGATGACGCCTCGAGTTGTATCGTCGCTGTTGGTCAGACCATGGCTGTGGTCGATGAGGCAAGGGATCCCGTGTACCGCTTGTCATGTTGGATCTCGTGCCGATTGCCCACCAATCTGGACCCCATTTTCAGGTTTCTTCTTCTACTTCTGCTATTTATTGATGAGTGTCACGCTGGTCAATTTGTGTACAGACGAGGAGGATAATCGTTGTCAACCTTCGTCTTTTGAAAGCTTTCCTGGTCTGAAATTGAACCTGGATTAGAGGTTTGTCTGAATCGAAGTAAATCCGAGTATTTCCATGAGCTTTCCAAGAGTTGAAGAGCGCATTCAAATTTCAAAATTCCATCATCTGCTTAATTCGAGCCTGAATGATCAATCGTAAGGAGAGGTCACGACATCTGTCCTGTGTTGAAAGTTAGGGCTCCAAACATGTGGAATGTTCTCACTTGAACGTATCGTTGTGTTTTGTAGCTGAATACCTATCTCACTCTCTTCATCTTGGTCTCGAATATCATACCTTCCAATTTTAGAACATGTGAATGTTACTCTTTACCACGCTCGATCTTCCATTATATCGTGTACAATCGCATTTGTTTTTCTTGTATGTACTCGGGCCACCTCTGCTTCACATTTTCATGACGCCAAGTCATGGTCTAATCCCTGTGTTTGCATGTTGTAGACAGTATGCAGGTGCAGCCTTCAATGCTTGTGCAGAGGTACTCGGTTGACAAAAGTCTTTTCAAACTGGCAGTTGGTAATTTAGCAGTTCGTAGTCAGGGGCGTGGTCGGTTGTGGGAGACATTCGGTGGAAGGCGAGGCTTCCAGGATTATGCAACAACGCCGGAGAATGTATTGAATCTGAAACCGTGTGTTGTTATTTACGATGGTGTTTGCCACCTTTGCAATGCAGGTGCAGCTCCTTTCATTTCATTTCCTTTGAATCTCATCATGTGAATGTGATCATAATCATTTACACGGGAATGATTACCTTGGTCGTTTGTGAATACAACTTGGCAATTGTGTCTTATCTCCTACTTGAGCTACTTGGAAATGTATACATGTCTGGTTGCTGTGCGTGTTCTCCTTTTTTCGCGCAGCCTAGTTGGTTAACTTACTGCGTATTAATTCTACGCTTCTCCATGTTGTGTATAACCTTGCTGTGGTAGGTGTGAATTGGGTCATAAGGGTGGACAAGAAGAAAGCTATCTCGTTTTGTGCGGTGCAGTCAAAGGCAGCTGAACCTTACTTGCTGCTATGTGGTGTAACTCGAGAGGATGTTTTGAGGCGCTTTGTTTTCATCGAAGGACCGGGTGAAATTCATCATGCTTCTACTGGTAAGCTTTATCGTCCTGACACGTGCCGATCGTGTTAGCCGTTATCATCAAAGATCTGTGGAGTTCAGTCACATGTGTGAATGCCTAACCCCTAACAGCCTCAGTGGAGAATCAGCGAATTGACATAGTGGCTTAAATGTTGTTGACAGCGGCCCTCAAAGTGGCATCTTATTTGCCGTTTCCATATTCGGCACTGTCAGTATTCTTTGTTATCCCAGCTACTATTCGAAACGCTGTGTACGATTACGTTGCCAAACGGCGCTATAGGTGGTTCGGACAGTCGAAAGAGTGTATTTTGCCCTCCAGTGACGTGTTGGACCGCTTTATTGACAAGTTGGAAATCCAGAAGAAAATGACGGAAGACCAGTATAATGAGCAAGTACAGGATTAATTTACTTTCGACAAGGTGGTTTTAAGATAGAAGCAAACTCATCACCTTTTTGAAGATTTTCACCTGCTGTGCTTGTCCCTGCATCTTTTGCTAGACCTTGGTAGTGCAAACCTGAAGGATTGTCTTTTTTCAGTGCTAGCTCAATCATCCATAGAATTCAAAGCTAACGATTGTTGCAGAGAGGTACAATGGAAGTTTGAGAGTCATCTGGAGAATTCAGGTTTGTCATGTGTACATACTAGCCTATTCCTACAACATTCAGGTGATCGAGAAATGGTTCAGAGGGCGTAGGTGTTTTGCTAACTTTTGAGCCCAATAAGAATTTAGTAGAAGGGGTGAGAATAAGGTATGTGTGTGACGACTTCTTATGTCATTTAGTGACTCCACATATCGTGACCCCCGCAGCAAATCAAAGTTGTTCATCCATCAAGCTCTTTTCTTTATTTGGTTTTCTAGTTGCTCTCAGCATTGTTGATTAAACCCAATTGGTACTTCCCTTTAGAATTTGATAAGCACAGAGGGCACAAGAATAGATGATTTCTATCTGTTAGAAGAAAGTGATCCATACTTGTAAGAAGGCTTTGTAGCATTTGGTGATTTTGATGTGAGAGTGTTATTTCTAAGAGTGAAACTAGTAATCTTTGCCATTTTAGTTTTTTTGAATATATATATTTTTTATTTCTATTTTTTTATCTCTTTTTGATTCATATCTCATTTATTTATGTATCTTCTTTGAAATCTTGTTTTTAAGAGATTTTTTATTTTAAATATACATTACAAGATAGTACAAAACTTTTAACTACTTTGCATATGTGATGCTATTAAAAATCTTTTAATGTTAATTCTAAATTTTTTTTGTATCCAAAATGTCCATCAATTATGTGATGAGTTGAAATAACTCATGATTGTGCTTTATTTTTTGGAGCATGTAAGAATCCTTAAAAATAAATAGTTTATTTTGGATTTTATCTTTGAAGTATTATGAGATTCAAAAGAATTGTTCTTAATATCACATACAAAAAAAGCAAAGAATATATTTGACTAAATTTGATTAAAAGTTGTATCTCTTTCATTTGGCTCATAACAAGAACATCTAGAAAAAATGTTTAATAAACCTTATTGTTTTTTAAGTTGCTATGCTCCAACAAATTGGGTGGCAATTTAAAACTTGTATTAATATGAAATTTTTAAGGTTCTTGTAATTTATATAAATAATTACTAGACTTAAAGTTCCTTCTAAATAATAGTATTATTCTTGAAGTAAATCTATAGTTGTAAAAAGTGTTAGGGACATAGTCCTTAGACCTTTCTAGAGACAAGTTTCTAGAACCTTTTAGAAAGAAGTCTCTAGAAACTTCCAGAAGATCCCTTGAATATTCTCTTAGAATATTCTTCAAAGATTCCCTAAAGATTCTTTGAAGATTCCCTAAAGATTCCCTTAGAAGGCTCTAGAAGATTCTTAGAATATTCTAGTAGATTCTAGGAAGTTACTTGAGAAGTTTCCTAGCTCTTGGGTAGTTGCTCGAGAAGCTTCATAGTTCTTGGGAAGCTTCTTGATGCGCTTCCTTAGAACCATAGGCTAGTAGTATATATAGGAGTCGAGGTTGAAGAGTTCTTCAATCTCGACAACGCATCTCTTGAAGCTCTAGCTCAATTCTCCTGGCGTTACTCTTGTACTCATCTGATAATCTAGTTCTTGTCATTTCTTCTTGAACTTCTTGTTTAGATTTCTTGTTTGTATTTTTGGTCCGTGACAGTTTGTCGAGACTACCTTTATCTTAATATCAGAGCTGAATCCTTCTTGTTTGAGAGCGGATTACCCCTCTTCTTGAAGGTATTCTAGCGCTTTAGGGGTTGCGGATTACCTTCCTCTAAACTGATATTTTCTGAATCACAATATCAGAGCTTAGTTCTTTGAGGCAGAGAGTGGACTACTCCTTTCCTTGGAGATACTTGAGCGTTCTAAGGGTTGCGGATTACCCTCTCTTGGACTGATATTAATTCCTTCTTTTTGTTTAGCATAGCTAGTAAAAAAGACTGTTAACATCGATTTCAGAGCTTTGCCTTCTTGATAGAGTGCGGATTATCCCTCTTCTCGAAAGCATTGAGGCATTTTTAGAGGTTGCGGATTATCCTCCTCTAAAACTGAAATCGTTTAGTGTTTTTTTTTCTTTTCTCTTCTTCGAGTAGGTTTTAGTGACAGGTAGTGCTACAATTTTTTCCAAGAGACTTAGCAATTTCTTCTTCTCTCAAAATTTTAATCCATCTATTCTCTAAATATGGAAGTAGACCAGGTCATAGACAGTGCATCTCCACAAGTAGACAATAGAGTAGCAACTCTTGCAGATCTTCAAGCTCTTATGAATAGTGTACGAAAGGAGATTGCATTTCTTCGCAATCCAAGTAAAGAACTTCAAATTGATCTAGTGACCGAAGAAGCTAGACGTGAAATTCATAGCCTACAACAAGAGATTATTCGACTGAGAAAAGCAAGACATGTGTCACATACGACCCCTATAGATACTTCAAGGATTAATATGAAAGAACCAAAAGCGAGTATGCCAGACAAGTTTGACGGAACAAGAGCCAACTTCCGAGGTTTTGTACAACAAGTACGGCTTTACCTACGCCTATACCCTTCTCATTATCCGAATGGATTTACCCAGGTTGCTTTCATAGGTACTCTTCTATTAGGAAATGCTCGCTCTTGGCTTGCTCCACTATTGGAGAAGGATTCTCTAATATTGTACGACCTAGAGGCTTTCATAGAGAGACTTACTGCTGTATTTGGAGATAGCGATCGAGAAAGAGTGGCTGAAAGAAAGATACAAAATCTGCGAGAAGGATCACGTTCTGCTGCAATCTATGCTGCAGAATTTCAACAGCTTACATGTGATCTTGATTGGAATGATAAGGCATTCATGACACGATTTCGATATGGACTGAGAGATGATGTCAAGAACTTATTGATCACTATGCCTAAGGTGAATACTTTAGAAGAACTTATATCTCAGGCAATTATTTGTGACAACCGCCTCTTTGAATTACGACAAGAAAGACGATCAGGCTGGAGAAATGATGGAGCATTTGCTACATTTTCAAAAGGTCCAGAGAATCACTCCACAGATCCTGAACCCATGCAAATTGATGCGGTACGTTTCAAACCCCTCACAGCTGAGGAAAGGAAGCGACGGTTTGAACAAAACTTGTGTTTATATTGCGGAGAAGTGGGCCATAAAGCTGTAGATTGTCGGAAGAAACAGAAGCCTCAAACAACAAGACTCAGCAGTACAAGCATGCAGGAAAACAAGAATGCCCAGCCACAATAGGGACCGTGCGGCTGGACATCTCAACATCCAAAATTAATCAAGGTCCCTTTCTCTCAGCTCAACCTTCAGATTGTTTTATGGTACCTTTACATCTGGGTATTCAAGAACTACAAGTCGATGCTTTATTAGACTCGGGTGCATCCGCTTGCTTTATAGATGAAGACTTTGCCAAGCTTCACAATATTTCTCTTGTAAAGAAACTTAAGCGTGTCCATGTAGAAGTCATAGATGGACGACCACTATCTTCGGGCAATGTTATCCATGAAACTAAATCATTGAAGGTACGTCTTGAAAACCATGAGAGCAATATTGTATTTAATGTTATCAAGACCCCTTCATGTCCTATCATTTTGGGACTATCTTGGCTTGATAGATATAATCCATTGATAGATTGGAAGTTGCGGAAAGTGACATTTCCAACAAACTCCTTGAAGGTGGAATCTGTCAAGACAATGTCTAGAAACAAATCCTTGTTTATAGGTGCAAGGGCTTTCATGAAGGAAGCCAAGCAAAATACACCTCTTGTCATCTTCGCAACTCCGACTCGAGAAGATGCAACTCCGACTTTGGTTATTCCAAAGCAGTATGAAGAATTCAAAGATGTCTTTGAAAAGAAGAATGCTGATATGCTGCCAGAGCATCGACCCTATGACTGTGCCATTGAATTGCAAGAAGGAGCACAACCACCTTTTGGACCAATCTACGATTTGTCGCAGACGAAATTGACTGAGTTGCCGAAGTACATTGATGAGAATCTAGCCAAGAACTTCATCCGTCATTCGAAGTCGCCAGCTGGGGCACCAATCTTATTTGTGAAGAAGAAGGATGGCTCACTACGGATGTGCGTGGACTATCGAGGTCTCAACAAGGTGACAAAAAAGAATCGCTACCCACTGCCTTTGATCTCTGGTCTTCTAGAACAACTTGGGCGTGCAAGGATCTTTACAAAGATTGACCTAAGGGGAGCTTACAACCTTGTGCAAATCAAGGAAGGAGATGAATGGAAGACAGCTTTCCGAACAAGGTATGGCCATTTTGAATACAATGTCATGCCATTTGGTCTTACTAATGCTCCAGCGGTCTTTCAACACATGATGAATGACATCTTTCGAGAGCATCTAGACGATTTTGTTGTCATCTATCTAGATGATATTTTGATATTTTCTAAGAACGAGGAAGAACATGAGAAGCACGTTCGTCTGGTACTCAAAAAACTACGGGAGCGAGGACTCTATGCCAAATTGGAGAAGTGCTTATTTCACCAAACTGAGATGGAGTTTTTGGGATTCATCGCGACTATGGAAGGCTTGAAGATGGATCCAAAGAAGGTGGAAGCAATCATGTCTTGAGAAGTTCCGAAGACGGTTAGGGACGTACAATGTTTTCTTGGATTTGCTAACTACTATCGGATCTTCATCAAGAATTATTTTCAAGTTGCTGCCCTCCTCACTCAGTTAACGTGCAAGGACAAGCTCGAATGGGGACCTATCGCAGAAAAAGCATTTCAAGATTTGAAGATGGTATTTACTACAGCTCCAATCTTGGTACATCCGGACTTTACAAAGGCCTTTTATTTGGAGATAGATGCTTCGGATTTTGCTTTGGGAGCTGTACTTTCACAGATGGGCATAGATGAGAAGTTCCATCCAATTGTGTTCTATTCTCGAAAATTCTCTGCTGCTGAGATCAACTATGAGATCCACGATAAGGAACTCCTTGCTATAGTAGATTCTTTTCAAGAGTGGCGCCACTTTCTCGAAGGAACTACACATCCAGTGACCGTATATACAGATCACAAGAATTTGGAGTATTTTATGTCGACTCGGGTTTTGAATCGGCGTCAAGCTCGGTGGAGTATGTCGCTATCCAGGTTCGACTTTGTTATTACTTATCGGCCTGGGAAGCAACAAGGGTTGTCCGATGCATTATCAAGGAGATCATATCTCGCACCAAAGGCTGGAGATGCAGCATTTGATCAACAGTGCTCGACATTGTTGAAGCCAGAGAAATTTCGGCTCAACGCAGCTATTGTACCAATTGATGTTGACTTCCTCGATCAGGTACGGGCCGCAACCATTGAAGATTCTCTAGCCCTTGATATCAAGCAACATGCTAGTGATGATAAATTCAAGATGGAAGGAGATCTAGTATATTTCGAAGAGCGGTTGTATATCCCAAAAGGGCCAACACGACTCCGAGTTCTTCAATCTCGTCATGACTTTCCAGCTGCAGGACATTTCGGATTCAATAAGACCTTGGAACTTATTTCTCAAGATTTCTGGTGGCCTCAAATGTGGAAGGATGTGAAAGATTTTGTTGTATCTTGTGACATTTGTTCAAGATCCAAAAACCCTCGACATCGG